CGGCGGTTTTCGCCTTCTTCGGAGCCTGAAAGGGTCAGGCTGAATTAATGATCTCCGACCCACCATCAAAGCACTCCCTACCCTTTCGACCCCCTCTAAGTCCAGCACGTAATACGAGTGAAACAGCCAACATACCTCAACCGGATTCACCGGATCAAACGACGAGCCTCGGTGATGGAAGTTTTCGAACTGAGACTATCCAGAGCCGTTAAATGCTAATCTTATATAGGGAGATAGCTCTCGCGTGATTGATAAGCATTCTCCCCTTCGGTTCATTCTTGGATTCCTGACCTGAATCCAGAATGCTTCGAGAGTTTTTCGCGCGGAAAGTTGGTCTTCGCGCTCTAAAACCTCTACCGTGACTCCAAAATCGTCTCCGTTGTGGTCTTGTACCCTGTGACATCCTAATGGGGTTGATACACGCAGTCTAGACTTTCCATCCAGATGCTCCTTGATCCGCACATGGAGTGGCCTAGCCGTTTCACCAATGTATTCATCTCCACAAGTTAGACAGGAGATCTTGTAGACCACACCTGCGACTATGCAGTCTCCTTCCCTGCCAGCAGGGCAAACTACACAATCAGGGGTTACACATGTGCGATCGTAGAGGCGGTTTCGAACTAGGCGACGTTTTAGGTTATTAGGAGGAACCTCTACTAAACCAACAATGTTCTGTAGACCCGATCTCCTCAGGCATTTCTTTATGGAAGTGCTTACTTCATCGGAGATGAAAGGTACATGAATGGTATTTTGTCCATCAATGGGTTACCTGGTCTACTCGCAGCAACATCTGTTCTAGTTCTACGCACAGCCGAGGGGAGGTGGTAGCCATTCTGCTCAGCGTGCCATTTTCAGTGACTCTTTCTTTTCGCTCGCTCCCGTACAGACTTTTGCGGCGGTCCGGAACATATTCCTGACGATAGCCCGCTTAGTCTGAAGTGGGTGGGCTGATCGAAAATGGACGATGATGTTTTTGTTGCTGGGTTTTCTATACCACCTGGTGAGATAAGTGGACCCCTCAAGTTTAATCTGGACATTAAGAAATGGGAGCCAGTCATTGACTGGCTTCTCACGCGTTAGTCTTATATGTTCGGACTGCTCGTTCATTAGGATGAAATAGTTGTCCATTTCCTCTTGTGTGGAACAGATTACGAAACAATCATCAATGTATCGGCAATAAAGCAGTGGAACTTGATCTAAAACAGGCGCTTCGATTTTAGCCATGAAAGCAATGGCTAAAGTGGGCGCCAGCCGTTGTCCCATAGCTAAGCCCCTAATCTGCTCGAAGTACATTCCAGACCATCTGAAGATGTTACAGCTGAGACATTCTTTCAGCAGCATCATTATTTGATCTACGGAAAGCCCATGCATATTAACCAGGTCACGGTGCTGATTGAGGAGCTCAAAAAGGGCTTCCATAGCAGCACTGTTACTGACATTCGTGTAGAGGGCTTCTACGTCAAAGGACTCCATGACGCTGGAGCTGTTTGGATGTGCTCTAGCGAGGTGGTTCAGGAACATCTGAGTGTTGGAGAGGTGTGACGATACGTAGTGCTTTCATGGCTGAAATAGAAGCGCCTGTTTTAGATCAAGTTCCATTGCTTTATTGCCGATAAATTGATGACTGTTTCGTAATCTGTTCCA